TCATAATCGCTTTATGAAGTATTAAAAGGAGGAAGTATTTTATATTTAACTAGTAAAAACATTTTTCAGTTGGCCAAATAGAACATTAGTTCACATATAATTATTATTAATCTAAATGTCTTCTAAAAATGTATCATACAAGAATCCAGCTAATGATGTTCGAAAATATTTACAACAAAGTAAATACTTGAACCACCAAATAAATACTGGTAGTGTTTACTATAAACTTTCCAATATTTACATCCTGGTACTAGTAAGTCAAAGATTATTCATAAGAAATTTATGATTTGCCTTTACCCTACTTGACACTTACAAGCATTTACATAGTTTTATGCATATTGGCCCATTGACAAACGATAAGACTGACAATACAATGACAAATAAACAGCAGTGTACTAGATCCACGAGAGAGCCGAGCGAGTAAGCATCCGTACGTCGGTGTGTACACACTAACGTTGTGGAAAACGAAACGAAGGTGGGGGGTGGCAAGGGAGGAAGGAGTATCTGCTGTTAATCGAGGATCCGAGCGAACGGTTTGGAAAACGAAAAATGACAGACACAACAAAGAAGTCGATTCGGAGATAAAACAGTGTGTATGGAATGAGTACGACACATGTACAGGAAATGTAAACGACATGTACACACACACACAACAGCCGACAGAGAAAGAGAGAGCGAGAGCGAGAGAGAGAGAGAGAGAGAGAGAGAGAGAGAGAAGTCAGAGGTGGGAAAGGGAAAGGGATGAGGTAGCGGAGGGTTAGGGAGGGAGGGAGGGAGCAAAGAGGGGATATAGTAGCAGCAGTAAATACCTTTGTAAGAGAGAGAACCGGGGCTTCGTTGTCCCGAGGAAGAGGTCTCCGGCGAGATGCGGGCCCGCCACGCACTCGCGTTCGTCGGCGACACAGTAGGACTGTTGCTGTTGCTTTTCCTGAGGCTGCTGCCTTGCCGGCCTTGTCGTAACAGCGAGCTTACAGGCAGGGTCGCGCGCATTGGGCCTTGCTTCGACGTCGAGCATGGCGAGGACTTTCGCATCCGCTGTGATCCCGACATTTTGTCATGTAGACGGATGCCGCACAGGCTCGGTGGACGTTGTCGGCGTGTACGATGGTGCACCGTGTCGAGTTGTATGTTGTACTATAGGACGGGGCGCCGCGGGCACCGTTCAGGGCACGAGGCCTCCGAGCACCCGCGACTTTGTTGCGCACACGCGCCGACAGTAGCGATATAGTGCCGACACACCGAGGACAGACTTCGGGATCCGTTTAGGGCAAACGCTGTCGCGTCCTCACGGTGGCGGGCGAGATCTCATCAACGGCTGCGGCGACGACGACGGCGGTGGCGCGACGGATGAAACCAACAACGACGGGAACTGTGGCAGCGGCGGCGCGACGACAATGCCCTACGCGTCTTGTCATTTGCAATGTTCTGCTGCTGGCTCGGCACGCACGTCACGTGATCGCCCGTCCCGGCTGGTCATTGGTGCAACGCTAGCCCGTGGAGCGTCGTACTACGCTCACCCGTGGGGGCCGCGTTCCATTCACTACCACCGTAGCACCGTAGCTAGCGTCCTATCGGCCTCTCGCTCTCTCCCTTCGCAAGAATCTCTCTCCTCTTCGCGCTTGTGCAGTGACACTCAAACTCACCCTTTGCGGAATCACCTATCCCGAGATCCACCGACGCGAATACGTTGTTTATCGCACTTTATTCTTCACCGCTTCGTTTCGCTTCGTATGCAGACCACCTCGCTTCAATCGTCACGACCGAGCACACTCGCCTAGAACCCCGATGATCAATTCTATCGCGGAAAACGGAATAGCACAAGCGGTGCCGAACGGAACCCCCGTTCGTTTTCTCGAGTACGAGTCGCCGTTTCAATCGAAAGTATGTTTTGGTATACGTGTACTCGACGACGCTCGTGTGCAACGATCCTCTTATATACACCTGGCCGCGACACACGTACAGGCCAGTATGTAGCGTCTTACGTTTCACGTTATGTACGTAATGGAGGAGCACAAGCCGATGAATAGCGTGCGTGAATAACTTTCGTGTACGGGGGCACGTACTAGCACAGGCGTAGTATTCGAGCTTACGTTTTTCACCCACGGCGCGTGCACGCTACGTTCATTCGATACTCTCGCTCGGAGAAATCTCGAACGCGTACGATCGGTTGAATTGCTGCGGATCGAGTCAATATTACGCGCGAGCTTGATTTCGATAGTATTGACGCTACGGAATTTTTATGGGTATTTCTATCGGTGTACCGACGATTTCACCGCTTTCGGGGATTTCGGTATGGAAATCTTCTGGATTCTCCTTTTATTTTCGCATGTAATTCGAATATTATCGATATAGAGATACGCGTAAAATAGGGATCATGCGAATTTACCGCTTTTTTTTCAAAGGATTTAAGAAGAATTTTATTTACATAAATTAAGTTCATATACATATGTTTATTTACAACTTTACATTACACCGTACTGTTACATTGTAATACTCCATTCTGCATAGTATCGATATTGTATGACTAGATTTAAATGTAATTCAGTTTTGTAATCGAAATATTGAAATTATTGTATAGTACAAATTTTGAGCATATTAGTAATTGTGAAATACGAGGAAAGTAGTATTAATTGTGTTACAGTTTTCGTCTTATTCCGAAACTTTACATTAAGTACAAACAATGAAATCAAACCAAATTCTGATAACATCAATACATTGTTTGCTCTTATTGAATTAATAATATTTAATTCCTGTTTTGCAAAGGCACTGGTGTCCTTTCCATAAAAGGCAAATTCAATGGCATAACTGTTATTTGCATACAGAAACATACGCAATTACGTGTATGTATAATCGAATTTTACTAGGCAAAGATAAATTATACTATCAAGCATTTTACCAGGAATGTTGTGTATCAATTAAGGAACTATTTTAGTGTTATGTTTCATCTTCCTTTTTAACAATATATATTCACGTGATTTCGATCCTAGTATTGTTTTGTTTGCAATAGTATTCACTACTGTGTACTTCTAAACTCAGAAACTTTATTTTGTAACCATAAGTTCTCATATCTCAGTTACTTATGAGGGAGTGAACACAA